GGTCGTATCTCGAAAAATTCGTAAGTAGGGGCGTTCGTAAGTAGAGGTACCACTGTATTTCTCCCCCACCCCAATGTAGGTGTAGCCCATAGAGCTTCTCCAAACATTGCTACAAAGTTGTCATTTTTAATGAGGCAGAAATGAAGGATGGAGAAATATTGAAAACCCTGGAGGAGTAAATTAAAATTGAAATTGGGTCTAGCTTGGGGCCTACCCAGTTCTTCATCCTGACCTTGCCTACTTTGGGGCAGAGGTTACTGGCGCTCTCAACCTGTCTATCCCTCATCTAGGAAGTTGGAGCAGTTTGCCATGATTTCGAGTGTTGAGCTGAGAACTGCTTTTCAAACTGAAGAGGGTTGGAGGGAGTGAGAAGCCACAATCACCAGCCTGTCTAAAAGTCCAGGAAGTGTAAAATAAATCTGTTTACTTGATATCCCTCCCAAGGTTGCTGGTTGGAAGTTCTCCTCCTCCTCCTCCTCCTCCTCCTCATTCAAGTAACAGCCTCGTGAGCTGATTTGCAGTTGGGGTCTTTGCACACAGTTGCTGTGGATGCTTGGTTGTTAGACATGACGTGAACGTAAATATTTGTTGAAACCATCAGTTCATAAACAAATAAATAATAAACATAATCCAAGATGGACTGCAAAATGTAAATGGGCTTTCACAATGCCAGGGGATAACTTCTGCCCCTTCTTTTTTTCCATTTCTACAATACATTTGCGAATATAGAATGACTAAGACTTGAGGAAATTACTCTGAGCTCTTAACGTAGGTTCGCTCTCTCTCTCTACCGCCTTTCAAGTTATTTCTGAACCAGGAAAACACCAAGCTGACAAATGAAGCTGCCACGCTGGTTTTGCCTATCGTGGTGAGCCTCCTCAACCACGTGATGCCTTTCCTATACTCGTTTTCCAGCTTGGTTGAAAAGTTCACCTATCCCAGGCACCAGATCTACACTGCTATTATCAGGTACATTGTGGTGGTTTTTACCTTCCTTTAGAGTGAACCACACCATAATAACCCATCCAGATATTCTTTACTGAACGTATTTATTGATCTGTTAGATTTATATTCTGCTTTGCCTTCAGGAGCTCAAGGCAGCAGAAATAGGACCCCTTCCTCCGATTTTCCCCCACAACAATCCCTTTGTGTGGTCCACACATCTTAAAGTTCCCAAGGTTGAGAAACACCGCATTACACAATGCTATGACAGGGGAGAGAGAAGGAAATAGTTCTTTTCCAGGTATTTTTCCATGAGCAGAACATTGCCTTCAAATTCCCAACTTCAAACCTTTCAGAGCAGACTTGTAGGAAACAGTTGTGTGCGTCCCATGCTTCTGAATCCTGATAGCTGTTGCTTCCTCTTTGTAGGAATATCATCCTGAAAATATCTATCATTGGAATCCTCTGCTACTACTGGCTCAACATAGTGGCTATATCCAAAGTAGAGGTAGGTTTTCAAACATGTTTCTGTACTGTTGTAAAATTCCTTAGAAAGTGATGTGAGGCCTTCTTTCACTTAAGTTGGATTTACAGATTGGGCTAAGCCATGGTTTATCTACCTAGGGTTTATTGATCAAACTGCCGTTGGCTGGTTTTGTACAATACATTAAGCCATAAACGATGGTTACTAAAGGATGACTGCTGGGTTCACACAGTACATTAAACAAGAATCAAATAAACTGTTTGACGGCTTAGCTCAGCCTTCTCTGACCTAGATATTTTCCAGGCATGTTGATGTTCTTACCCAGAATTTCCCAGCCAGCACAGCCACAGCTGAGAATTCTGGGAGTTGATGTCCACAGATCTGGATCTGGCTTTAACATGTTGCGTGAACTAAATGACCATCTTCTAATCTGTTCTCCTCATTAGTGCTGGGAGACCATGGTTGGCCAAGATATATACAGGCTGCTCATAGCAGACTTTGTATGCTGCCTCCTAGGTTCATTCTTTGGTGAATATCTACTACGGTATGTGCATATGTCTGTATTTGACTCAAATAAAACTTTCATATTTCTACATTTGGATTGGAAATTCTGACATAGGGATAGGCAGGTTAGAGACATGTCTGATGGGCCACAGTTATATCAGCAGAACTCCCAAATCTACAACCAATTGTCAGGAGCAAAGGATATTCATTTAAAAGTGGAAAAAATAGAATCCTTCCAAGCATATCCAGAAACCAGGATTTCGTTTTCAGTTTCCAAATGGAACTCAGGGAAGAAGGGGTTGCATGAAAGTCTACCTTGCGGTACCCCAACCGTTCTTCATTTCAGCCGCCAAATTTAAAAAATGCTACTGTAATGCTGTTGTTAAAAATTAGGGGTTGGAAACTTGGTATCCCTTGCAAGATGATAAATGACAGTTCTAGATTACAGTAGTTTATTTATAGCCTGTTTTTGCCCAGTCAATTGTGCTCCAAAGAAACTCCTGATAATCAGCTGATCGAAAGAACAGCTTCCCTTTTGAAAAAAGATATCTTACAAATTGTCACACATCGAGAATGTCTTTCTGTAGAGCTGCTGCATAATCTGTTCTGAAAGATGTCGCCAAACTTTGTAACTGAAAAATGTGCCATTTCAGACTTATTGGCACGAAATGCTATAAAAAACTTGGAGTGCCAGAATTTGACATTGCTCGAAATGTTTTGGATTTGATCTACGCTCAGACTTTGACATGGTGAGTGAAAAATCACATTTTGAAGATTTTTGCAGTTTTTCCTTTGTCGTATGCTTGAATGCATCTGAATTATTGTGTCTCTGAGTCAACAGAAACTGCAGAGGAAATTGCCCAAGCTTCTAAATATTGCTGATAAATGTCCTGATATAAATTGGGTGATGGCATGGAAGATGAAAACTGGCTCCCTTCATATCAAATGTTCTTCTATTGTTGGTTATTTAGCAGACTTTGATGAAGAAAGGGGACCCAGACTGATGCCATGTTGTTTCTTTCGTTTTCCCACGTTCAAATCCACTCAGAATCTTTTGCCTATGCCTTTTGTCTCCACGTTCATCTCGCCCGAAGAAATTATGATTAAATTGAAAAAGATCTAATAAGTCTAATAAAAATCTAATAAGTCGACTGTAACCTAGTATACTTAACTAAAAATTAGCTAAAACCCCCCCCAAAGTAATTAAAATATATTATTATAAAGTAACTTGAAATTGAAAGGGCAGGAGCTCAGAAAAATAAGTGTTGCTGGGCTGATGCAACTGGCTCCCTAAAGTCCTAGTACGATTTAAAGCAAAAAACCAAAAACATTCCACTCTATGTAAAGTTGTGAAAACAAACGAAGAAACCTAACCCTAAAGTAGAGGAGGTGGTGGTGGTGGTGGTGGTGGTGGTGATGATGCAATGTGAAATACTTTGCTGTTCCCAGTCTGAAAATGGTGTTTCTTCTTTCTGGGCATTGATTTTTTAGCTATTGAAACAGCAGCATTCATAGCTTGAGTATCAGGAATAGTGAGAATGACTGTAGATCAAGTTGAAGGTTCTTAGCACATTCAGGTTGTTCTTAATTTCTTAGGAAGAATCTTGATATTTCAGGGAAACTATGGGGTTATTTCTCCCTGCTCTCTGCTGGACTGATCGTTGGAGACCTTGGCTCCATTGATAGTTGGGAATTTCATTTTACAGCTTGTAGTTTCTCTCCCCTCTTATGCATTAAGCCATCACTTCCTGCTTTGTTGGAACTGAGAAAGTGTGGTCTAACCTCTGTTGGCTGATACAGGGTTTGCTTACCTCTGTGCATATGATCTCTCCAGACCAGTCACAGGTCACCATTCACAGAGTGGGCCACATATCCGGCATTTTTATCCAAACACAAAAAATAGTCTCTACTTACATTGAATGGCATACGAAGAGAACTCTGTCCTTGAATTCTTACTCAATTGTCTTTTTTCCCCCTCTTCTTCAGGATTGGGATCTTCTTCTCCCCTCTGCTTCCTGCCATCCAGATGATAACATTTTTTATAATATTTTGCGTGAAAAAGGTTAGGCTGCTTTTTGTGATTTTTCCTTGCCAGCCATAATTCCATTGTTCTCCCTCAAGCCTCCTGCTGTTACATACTGTATATGGACTCACAGTTCAGTTTCCTTTCATTCAGCGGGATGATCAATAGCACTCTGGAACAGTACAAGAATGAGGAATGGTCAGGGCTCACCCAGTTTGCTAACCCAGGCTACTGTGGCCTGGTTCATACATACTGCTAAGCCCTAAACTCAGTTACAGTGGCGATGGGGGTGCCATTGGAAGAGCTGAAGGGACAGATTAGGGACAGATCATCATGGAGAAGATCTATCTATGTGATCGCTAAGAGTCGACAATGACTTGATGGCTAGTAATCAAATCGATTGATCAAGCCCTAATGCATGAGCTACATATTTAAGCCAAACCTACCATGTATTATGGCTTTTACAGGGGAGGGGGGAAGCTTAAGGTATGCATGTGCCTCACTGCTCCTTTTGGTGGCCTACAAGTTGACCCCATCAAAATTTGACAACAAATTACTGATTTTAGGTGGCAAGATGTGTTAAGACATCTGTTTCTGCCTTTGCTCCCCCCTACCTCCCAAAGATCCTAAAAAGTGGGCAGTTTGGTTGCCTGCTTCACAGATGAACAGCCTTTTTGTATCTGCCGCTGTTTGGCTCCCTTTGGTTTCAGAGGTCAATCTTTTGATGGTGGGAACACCAAAAGACTGCACCTCTTTGATCTGCCCATGGTCTCTATGGCTTGCTCCTCCAGATCAGCCTGTTGATGAACTGCCAGCAGCCCCGCAAAGCTTGGCGAGGATCACAGATGAACACCATCTTTGTTTTCCTGCTCTTTTTCCCATCTTTCACTGGAGTCCTCTCGGTCATCGCAGTCACCGTCTGGAGGTCAGAAGCTCCTTGGTCCACCCTTTTCAAGTGGCTTCAGGGCCTTATTTGGCATTTCAGCCCAGGCTTTGGAGGACCCTCAGGCAAGATGCAGCTGGTCATTGGTTTATTCGCTTCCTCTGGATCCATTGTGTCCCTGTGAAGGAATGCAGATCTGACTTTGGGAATGGAGAAGGAATGAGCAAACCATTAAAGGGGGGTGGGGGGCTTTCAGAAAAAGATGATCCAGTCTTGAGAAAGAGGAAGGCATGAGAAAGAAACCCAAAATAACCCCACATTGATTTTGTTTGGTATAACATGGGGCAGAGAAAAGCTTGGATAGGCTTTTAAGATTCTGTTGGTCTATCTACAACAATAAAGAGCCGTGCATCTTCTTGACATGGCCTACTTCAAGGGGCTGGCAGCTCCTCTGTTCATGTGGAGTCCTCTTCGATCCTGTCCCTAGTCTTGCCCATCATGGTAGCCCTTCTCAACAAAGTCAGAGATCTCAGGATTTGCAGATCTCCACAGGGACATGGTTCCAGCAGATATCTAGTGATGTCTCTGATGTTGCCCAGCGTCTGTGAGTGTTTCTTTCAACAAACATATAAACTGGCTATATTTGTATAAGAAGAACCTGGCTTTTTTTCTTTCCTTTATTTTCCAAGACGGAAGCCTTCAGAAGCATGTGGTCCTTTCCGAGGTCTGACAACTACCTTTGAGGCTATTTCTGGGTGGGTGTCACTCCTGGCTTCTTACCCGAGTTCAGGATGGGTAGTGTGGATCTATCACAACATAATCGAGAGCACCTTTTTCTTCTTCATCCTTTCCATCATTGTGCTGTAAGTTTCCCATAAAGGAAAAAGAGGTGGGTTGGGGAAGGAAGGTGACCCATTTGTTAAATGAATTCTTTCATAATGCAGCACTTCTATAGATTATGGGCCCTACAAACTTCGTGTTGTTTATTCTGTCTGGTGGCACAGTTTGGGGTTCTTGGCTGAGGAATATATTTTTTTAAAAAGTAAACAATGAATAAGAATATGGAACATAGTTTATTGACCAATAAAGACTGAGTTTTAATTTCTGCATTCTGTTTTAGGATGATCACATATCTTTACTGGCAAATCATCAGTGGGCGAAAAACAATGGTTAAACTCCTACAAGAGCAAATTGTTAATGTAAGTATTTTCTTAGAGAAACTCTGTTGGGATCTAGTCAAATTAGCTTAAATTACAGGAGGGCATCTTACTGTTGAATATGGGGAGAAACAATTTGAGAAGGTTGACTACAGTAGTTGCTTCTACAGGGGGTGGGTGCTGTATCACTGAAGGTCTTCAAGCAGCGGCTAGACCAGCGTTTCTCAAACTTTCTGCAACTGTGGGTCACTACATATAAAAGTTTGGGAATTTCAGGGACCACCCAGATAAACAAACACCCCCTCCCCCATGACTTTATCTTTACAAATATGGCAGTTTAGGTTTTTTGGCAAATAAAATAATCCTTTAGTTGCATATGTTTATGCCTTCTTATTCCCTCTATTTAAAAATGTATTTTTAAGCTAAATGTTATACTAAACATATAATCTAAAATTAAGCATTTACTGGTCACTCGAGGGAAGATCTAAGGCAGCAAGTAAGTTCTGGCCAGTGAATGTGGGGAAGTACAGCAGATCACCTAGTGGCCTACAGTTCATTCTTTAAGAATCACAGGGCTAGACAGGCACCTTTCAGGGAACTTTAGCTTTGGGTTAGAAGGCTTTCCAACCTCTCTTCCAGCTCTGTGATTCTAAAATATGCATTTGCTTTGTTGAACAGATTGTAATGTATCTGTAATTTTATTTTATTTTTATTACCTTTATTGTTGTTTTGGGTTAGTGTGGTTTTATGGTTGTTATTTATGATGTTTCTGTCTAATTTCAGATTTTATTGTGGAAGTTTAGGACTCTATGTAAGCCACTGAGGGTCTTTTTGATTGTGGCGGGATAGAAATGCGTTTAATAAATAAAACAAAGGAAGGATTAGTTTTCAAGAGAGGTGTTTGACTGCTCAGTTTACCTGTTAATTTTTTAAAGAAAAATATCAAATGAATCCCTCTAACCCATCATCCCTTGTTATTTAACTGTTTCTTGATTTTGTAGGCAGGCAAAGATAAAATGTTTCTACTGAAGCAATTACGGGCACTGGAAGCTTCTAAGTTGCTGTGTTTGGGAAGGCAACCAGAGGTTAGTTTTGCAGATCTGGGCTTTTAAAGACCAAATGTACCCATTGCATACGCTCTTTGTTTAATAATGGTTTACTGAATAAAGCACAACTGTCTGGGATCCACTAACATGCTAAGCTGTGAAGCCATGTCTCATAAACCACAGTGACTAAGGTCAAGCCAAGCACACTGTGTAATGGCTTAGCATGTGAACCAGTCCAAAATATTTTTTATTTGGAAAACTGCAGATTGAAAAAGGCGATTCACTAATTGTCGGGAGGTGAGGGGGAGAACGTGTATCCATTCATGGTTTGTGTTGGTACTTTAGTGGTGGAGTCTTTTGGCTGGAAAGAATGGTCTTCTCTGCAGCTCCAGGTATACACGTTATCCTGCCCTCTGAGCACTGGGAAACTGCTGAATTTCTAGCTAACATGAGACCAAACTTAGATAAACCCGGAGGGAAGGGGATGGGGGAAATTTGCGATTGAATTTTTAGAAACCTGTGAGGTACAGCCACATAACTGTTTCCAAATTCCGAAGAAGACTAACTTTAGCGTGCTTCAGCGCTCTCCCCACAGCAGTGTTGGAGGGCCGATACAAAAAAGGTCCCCTAGAGCTGAGACTGTGCCCCTGTGGATAAGGGGCTGTTGAAACTACAGTTCATGGCCTGCTATACTGTACCCTCTATAACAGTGTTGCTCAGCTGTGGCAACTTTAAGATAGGTGGACAATCTAAAAAAAAAAAAAAGACTTTGGATGGGAGTTGGAGTGACCATTACTGTATTTAGCCAGTTCTGGATTTGGGGAAAATGCCTTACGGTGAGTTGTTGTTTCTTAGGACTGCCAGCAGATGGTGATAAGGAATTCAGAAAAATGGATCATGCAAAAGCAGTGCGTCTCAACCTCGGCAACTTTCAGATGTATGGACTTCAACTCCCAGAAGTTGAAGTCCACACTTCTTAAAGCTGCTGAGGTTGAGACACACTGTGCCAAAGGATGGTATGGTACTTTAAGGGAATCCTTAAAAAGAAGAGTTAAGACTAAAGAGGGTCTCAGCCTCTTTAAGCCAGAACCTCTTCCCACAGAGGGGAGAGCACTAGTGACAGCATTCCTGTGGACTGATCAGAGCTATCGTTGGCTGTGCCCAGCACAGTAGCCTGCCAGGGGATGAACCAGGCTCTGACACCAAGGTGGACAATATGGTGCACTGGAGCTGGCTTGTACTAGCCTGCGGGAGCCTGTTAAATGTTCTGGAATTTTGCAAGCCAATTGAGAGCAGAGGTGAGCAAGATGGCTGGTGCACTCACCAGCTGTTTGGTGGCTAGCGGTGCTGCGCTGTAACTACAATGGAGCCAGCAGCGTCAGTGAGACCTGGAGGTGCTGGAAGAGCTTGGTGTGATGGAATGTATCTACAAGGAGGAGAGTGATGTGGGGGATCAAGGCTATCGGGAAGGAGGGGGCGCATTCCAGGAGGGGGGAGGAGGCAAGAGGCAGCATAGTCCGCAGGGGGAGTGTGAGAAGAGTAAGAGATTCAGGATAGCCACTCCCTAGAATCTCCCAGGGTAGATCCACTAGTTGCTGTAGTATAGATGGAGTTTGGCAAGATTCTGTCTATAAGGTGTAAGCAAATAAAGGCACTGGACTGGACTGGACTGTTTCACCGTTGTTCTTGGGCTGGGCCTGACACTCAGCAGCATGTCTTTCGGGACGGAGGTGAATGCAAAAGACTAGGCGGTGGATCAGGTCTTTTGACGGTATGTATGTGCATACTTTTTGTGGGGGAGAGCAGGTTGTTAAACATTTACCAGTGCACCACTGACCGCAGGAGACCCTTGGTATAATACCAAACCTCACATAATTAATTGAGATCTATGACAAGAGCAGACTGAGCTAAAGGCAGAGAAACCAGGCAGGCAGTACGCGTGTGCAGGGGAACAGCTTGGTCAGTTGTACCCTGTGGTGAGGGATTTGTCTGAGTTTTGAAATTCAGAAGCTAAGGAGCTTGACCAGACTGAGTCTCAGCCTGGACCAAAGAATTAGCTGAAGGAAGCACACCTGGGGATCAACTAGGTGCAGGGTGAGTCAGCTGACCAAAAGCCAGAACTAGAAGAGGTCCCAAGGCCAGCAACCCATCACAAACTGAGAAGAGCCAGGCAACTCTGGCCATCTACTTGAAAGAAAGAAGCGTGACCCAGCCAAATAGTCAAGCTGATATTCCCGGCTAGATAAGCAGGATGGCTTTTGTGACCAGCTCTTTGGGGCAAACCGTTCCCCAGCTTTGACATTGTCGGTATGCTGTTGTTGGGTTACCTGGATGCATGGCTTAGAAATGGACTGCGATTGGATCTTTCTGAAGCTGAGTTTGTCTCTCTGAATTATTTCGCTAAAATGAGGTCTCAGGCCTGCAAAAAGTTTTGGGTTTGTAGCATGCTTTGTGTGACTTCGGTGAAAGCTTTATGACTGCAATAAATATCTTGAATTTCTTATCAGAAGCTGGTGGTGGGTGTGTCATTGGTGGCACAGAACACTAGTCAAGAACAGAAGGTAAGTCTAATTTTGATTTGTCTTCTAGAGGGATTTCTCTCTGAACCAGCTGCCTAAGGAACAAATCCGTGTTTTCCTGCCCAGCTGCATGGAGCACTCCCCGTGGATGGAAGAGAGAGCTTTGTCTACTGAGGTAATAGAGGGTGTGGTGTGGGTGAGGAAGAACAAACTTCGGAACACTTTCCTTTGAATAAAGGCATTTGAATTGCAGATGCTAACTACCCCCTCCATGCTGTCCTCTAGATAGGTTGGACTTCACCTCCCTTTTTTTTTTCTTTTTTTTTTTTCTTTGCCAGCCTTTTTTTTTTTCTTTGCCAGCCTTTTTTTTTTTCTTTGCCAGCCTTTTTTTTTTTCTTTGCCAGCCTTTTTTTTTTTTTACCCCCTCCATGCTGTCCTCTAGATAGGTTGGACTTCCCCTCCCTTTTTTTTTTTTTACCCCCTCCATGCTGTCCTCTAGATAGGTTGGACTTCCCCTCCCTTTTTTTTTTTTTACCCCCTCCATGCTGTCCTCTAGATAGGTTGGACTTCACCTCCCTTTTTTTTTTCTTTTCTTTGCCAGCCTTTTTTTTTTTTTTCTTTGCCAGCCTTGGCCTTATTGTTTGACCCATCTGGATTATATCATGTTGATACTGTTTGGAGATGATGGAAATGATAATCCAGACTGTATGAAGACAGTTGAACCATAAATGTTCTTAGCAGTGTCTCCAATCAGTGTCTCCACCAGATGGAAACTCTATTTTTGCACTGTGCTGTGCTTCTGATAGTTCTTGGCACAGCCTTCTCCAGTTTGGTACTTTCTAGATGGGTTGGACTGCAACTTCCCTAATTTCCATCTCTTGGCCATGTGGCCAACCAACCTAAAGAGCAACAGATTGAGGAAGGCAGCAGGCCAGGGAAGGAACCCAAGAAAAAATGAAGTTTACAGAGATCTTTGGGGAGAGGTGAATGCTAGGATTCTTCTGCTTTCCTTTTCCCAGGATAGCAAAACACAGCAATATTGGGTTCTTCTCTTATTTTGTGTCTATGTATTGCCATGTACTTGTATGTAAACTTTACCTCCAAATGACCAGCAGTCGTGGTCATTGCCTTAATTGTCTGAACAGCATTAGCATCATTCTTTTAACTGATTAGCAAGTCAACTAGTTGATGTAGAAGTCTTTTGGCTGTGGGAAGTGTTCAGTATGTGTGGAGTACAAAGTCAGTAATAGGTCCCATTGTGAATTTGCTGCTAACAAAAAGCAGAGAGGCTAACCTAATTTCCACTAGGGCAGAGAAGTATTTTATTATTAATGTATTGGGTTTTTTACCAGTGTTTTAAGTCGGTAGTATGAATGAGTACTACCAGGATAAACATCAGAGACACAGAATATGTTTAAAGAGTTAACATTTTAATTTTTAAAACAGTGGTCTGTATTTCAAATCAGTTATTATCGTCTCCTTTTCAGTCTGCTAGATACCCTGCGATGACCAGCTTTACTCACGGTAAGTACTAAGAGCGTTAGGCAGAACAGTTATATCAGTGCCCTACACAATGGGTGTTTGGGGTCTTTTTCATCAAAATAAAGTTAATTTCAGCATGCTAAATTGAAAGCATGCATAATCAAGCATGCAATACCTAGCTGATATTGCTTATCTCAAAACATTAAGTAAACTATGATTAATGCTTGTATTGGGACTAGATTGGGAAGTCAAAACGTGTCTAGGAGAAAGGTACTTGATAACTCTGTAGTCACCGGAAGTCAACTTTGTCTGGAAGGGGAAGTGACATAAATCAAATGGGTCAAGTGTGTAGAAAGAGGCTGCAGGGAAGTCCTAAGTCAGCAAAGCTTCTCCTGGTACTTGGTTTGTAGGATAGGAGAAAGGGAAACCTACTTATGTAGTCTTCTATAAAAGGGTTGAAATAAACCTCAGGGTATCCC